CCCCCCCCCCCCCTTGTCAATTGATTACTTCTTCCAGTCCTATATAGTAATATAAAGGAAACATGCTGACGAGATACACATAGGGGCTATTATTGCCAACGTGCTTCTTACAAAGCTGTCTGCTTGTTATGTTGACCCTCTGGACTCTGAACTCTCTTTATCGCTCACTTAGAACATGTATGCAGCTCAGGCAGCTAGCTCAATGTATTATCCCTTCCCCGGAGACGGAGATTTTGCTTAATGTGCAGAAAGGAAAGGACTTTACAATATGGACATCCTGTATTGAAAACCAGGAGCATTGCAAGTGACAGCAGCTACCAGGGACAAATCTTCAACCTTAGCCAACGTTCCCAAAAATCAGGGACAGCTGGAAACTGTATAAAGTATGACTTGCAATACCTGGTTAGTGAGCCCAGCACCCCTGTGCAAGAACGATAGATAGATAGATAGATAGATAGATAGATAGATAGATAGATCGTTCGATCCATAATATACATTTGGGGTCAAACAATGAACTGCCTAATGGCACCAAGAAGAAAAGCAAGAAGCATTCTGAATGTCCTAGAGCTGGTCAAGCAAGAAATGTAAAAGGTGCTCACTGCCCAACACCACTTGCACTGTGTTAAAGGAAACTGTGATCATGGTAAGAGCGTCATTAAGGATGCCTCTTGCTTCTCATTTGTTATAGTCAGCCGTGTCCAGAACTAGAGATGCACCAATACCGATACAGAGTATTTGGGCAGGTACTCGTACTCACACGAATGCTCCCGATGCTTATCCCGATATCGGGACTTGCGGTATCAGGAAACCGGGCAGCGAATCATTACATGCCACCCGGCTTCCTAATTGGTCTGGGAAGCCGCCTCCATACTCCCTTGTTTGGGAAACCAGCTTCATGCTTCCTGATCGGTCAGGAAGCTTCCCAGCTAATCAGGAAGCCGGGCGGCGAGTCATAACACGCCGGCCAGCTTCCTTAATGGGACTTCCGGTATTGGTATTCGTATTGGAAAAACAACCTCACACCATAATCCCCCCTCCACCAAACTTTACACTTGGCACTATGCAGTCAGGCAAGTACCATTCTCCTGGCAACCGCCAAACCCAGACACGTCCATTGGATTGCCAGACAGAGAAGCGTGATTCGTTGCTCCAGAGAACACGTCTCCACTTCTCTAGAGTCCAGTGGCGGCGTGCTTTACACCACTGCATCCCATGATTTGCATTGCACTTGGTGATGTAAGGCTTGGATGCAGCTACTCGGCCATGGAAACCCATTCCATGAAGCTCTCTATGCACTATTGTTGTGCCAATCTGAAGGCCACACGAAGTTTGTAGGTCTGTAGCTTTCCCACTGACCTCTAGTGATAGAGGGGCATTTATTAATTGACCACCAATATAAAGGAGCACTTTAATAACCACCAATATAAAGGAACACTACAACTGATTGTCTCTGTGTGGGTTTATTATCTTGGGAATAAAGTTGTACATTAGAGGAGGGAGGGGGGTGATGATCCTTTTTGGGTTCAAATATGTTACATACACCCCATTCCTTTTTCCTTTATTATTAAACTCTACAAACTACTGACCACCCTACTGTACCAGAAACTGTAGATAACATTTTGTAGCAGGGGTTCCTTAAGACCCACAGAATATCTGAAGGGTTCCTCCATACTAATGGGGTTCAGAAAGGCTCATTCACTGTCCCCCAGGCCAATACTCATAAGATAAGTTGGGCTGGTGGCCCTAAGTGGTGGTTCTTCACCATTCAGACATTGATCAGAGAGACACCCGCAGTGGCACATGCCGGGCATTATACACACACTCAGACCTGCAATGACAGCATCTTCCAGCACCACTTCCTCTGCAGCTCTGAGATGTCATCTGAATAAATAAAGTGGATACTGGAAGATAAAAAGGTGTGTCACAAAAAAAAATATAATGTATATAAAGTCTAAAGAGAGCGCCAAACAAACCAAAGAGACCACCAATGGCAGCTCCTGTATTTCTCCAGTGACGGGTACACTTTACCACAACAGATCAGAAGCACAGAGTCCGAAAACTTTTAATAAAGTTGATCCACAAACGACAACACAGAACAGTCAACATGCTTCGGGGGACACGGCAACGAAGCAGGTTTTAACCCTTTCCTCCTCCATCCAGAACAAAAAAATAGCTCTAGCCTTGCATGTTATTTAACACATAACTTTTTGTTCCTCGACTGTCAGTAGATTGATGATCAGGTGGCTCTACACACCTCTCTGCCCCGCCTCCCCTCCGGGGCACTGTGCACGACTATTACATCAACTTAAAGGTGTCAAAGCCATAAGCCTGTTATTTAAGCAAGCGGGCGTGGTTACCACCGGCGGGCAGCACCGCGCGCCTCATCTCCCCGCCCACCTGGCAGCTTGTGAATGGAAGTGGGCGTAGATCCCATCAATCAATGATTATACATCAATGGAGAATGGCAACCGGCTATAGAGGACTACAAATCTCAGCAATCCATGATTATACATCAATGGAGAATGGAAACCGGTTATAGAGGACTACAAATCTCAGCAATCCATGATTATACAGCAATGGAGAATGGAAACCGGTTATAAAGGACTACAAATCTCAGCAATCCATGATTATACAGAAATGGGGAATGGCAACTGGCTCACCTGGGCTGCGTTTGGGTCTCACTCGGGCTGCGTTTGAGTGTCACCAGTGCTGCGTTTGGGTGTCACCAGTGCTGCGTTTGGGTGTCACCAGTGCTGCGTTCGGGTGTCACCAGGGCTGCGTTTGAGTGTCACCAGGGCTGCGTTCGAGTGTCACCAGGACTGCGTTCGAGTGTCACCAGGGCTCCATTCGCGTCTCATCAGGGCTATGTTTGGGTCTCACCAGGGCTATGTTTGGGTCTCACCAGGACTATGTTTGGGTCTCACAAGGGCTGCATGTGTTGCTCTTCAGGGCTGTACTGGCGGGTGCCGGGCTCTCCAGGGCTGAGTTCGTATCTCAACAGGGCTGCATCTGTGGCTCTCCAGGGCTGAATGGGTGGGCGCCAGGCTCTCCAGGGCTGTACGGGAGAGTGTGGGGCTCTCCATGGCGGTGCCGGTCTAGGAAAGAAGGAGATGTGATACCGGAACAGCTATCATGAAGTCCTCAGCACGCTGCCTGAGGTCCCCAACAGATGCGCGACTTCAAGCAGCCGAAGTCATTTCAAAATTTAAAGCGTCGACAACGGCGCTATGTATGGTGAAAATGCCCACCGATGATACTAGTATCGGTATCTGTGTATCCCTTGTTAATACGTTTTCTTTCCAGATTGAATGCTGTGCAATGTAATACTGCATTATGGCCACTAGATGGAGCTGAGGAGCATGGGAAATAAATACTAAATATTCGCATCGTTTATAAATTGTCCCCCAACAGTTAATTATTTTCTATATGAGGTATAGGCAGAATCAGTGCCCAGCAAATGCTTTATTATACAGCAAGTCATTAGATCCTGGTGATTTGTGCCAGATTTGAGTCCATATAAGACCTGTTACCGTATGTTTATGTCTTACAGAAGAGGGGGGTCTTTGATCCCCCAAAATGCAATGGCTGTTCTGTATTGTTTGTGAACCGATTCTATTATTAAAAGTTTTTGGACACTTATTAGACTTCATGCACATGAATCTAGATGGTTGCGATTGTTCCTGTTGTGTCCCCTATACCAGAAGTACAGTGAAAGCTCCCGGAGGGGACACGGCAACGAAGCCGGCTTTAACCCTTTCCTACTCCATCCAGAACGAAAATAAATTGCTATAGCCTTGCATGTTATTTAACACATAACTTTTTGTTCCTCGATTGTCAGTAGATTGATGATCAGGTGGCTCTATACACCCCCGGGGCACTGTGCACAACTATTACATATACGGTACCTAAAGGTGTCAACGCCATAAGCCTGTTATTTAAGCAAGCAGGCGTGGTTACCACCGGCGGGCGGCACCCCGCCGCCTCATCTCCCCGCCCACCTGGCAGCGTGTGAATGGAAGTGGGCGTGGCCAGCTGCCATGGGCTGTTTAACATCCCTCCCCGTTGCGGCGTCTTGTTATCACCGTTCCGAGCCTGTATTGGCTGCTGCAGCCGTGACGCGATGCGATGCAGCCGGTTCTCCTCTCCTCTACATATAAAATATCGGAGAATATAACGGGGCAGCGACAGAACATCAGCTCGGCCGACAGAAGAGGGGTGCCGTAAAGAACGCAACGTAAGATACTCTAACTACCCCACCCCCCATCTCCCCTGTATCTGGGTTTGGTCTGTCCTGACCTTCACGGGTAGCAAAGGCAGTGGGAGAAACCACTGGGGGTAGCTAGGGGGTTAACTTGCTAGAGGGCAAAGGAAGGAGTGACAGCAGCCAGTACAGTGATGGATTATTCTATACTTGATAATAATAGAAGAGGAGCCAGTATGGAACAAAAAGCTGTCATCTGAGGCATGTGCCTCCATTGTGATGCTTCATGAGGTGTCACCCTTTAAGTGCATGAATGGCAAGGTTATTGGGACTAGGCTTGCGGCATTGGGACTATGGAGGAGCCATTCCTGTGACCCCAATGACAGCAGGCTGCCAGCAGCAATGTACATGGAATAGTGCACAGACTTTCACTAGAGCTGACCTCTACAAATCATGTCCCTGGAAGTGTCCCCCATCACCACTGATGGGCACATGAATGTCCTTCAAGCACCAGTGACTTGCATGTGAAAATCCTTTCTTTGATGCATGTTGAATTTCTAATCACATATCAATGTTCTCCAGGTTTTTAAAACCCAAATCATTGCAGAGCAGCATCTTACATGCAGTGTAGGCAGCATGACATCGTTGGTTGTAAAGTGCTGCTTGGACTTCTCTTAAAGGGTTAGTCCACAATATTTGACTATATGGTGCTCCATGGTCTTTGCCTAAAGGATAAGACTTCCAAATTTGACTATATGGTGCTCCATGGTCTTTGCTTAAAGGATTAGTCTGCTATATTTGACTGTATGATGCTCGTACTCTTTGCTTAAAGGGTAAGTCCACCATATTTGACTGTATGGTGCTCCATGGTCTTTGTTTAAAGGTGTAGTCTACTATATTTGACTCTGGTGCTCATATTCTTTGCTTAAAGGGTAAGTCCACCATATTTGACTGTATTGTGCTCCATGGTCTTTGCTTAAGCTATTAGTGTACTATATTTGACTCCATGGTGCCCCTAGTCTCTGCTTAAAGGGTTATTCCACCATATTTGACTATATGGTGCTCCACGGTTTTTGCTTTAAGGATTAGTCTACTATATTTGACTATATGGTGCTCCTACTCTCTACTTATTGGATTAATCCGCCATATTTGACTGTATGTTGCTCCATGGTCTCTGCTTAAAGGATATGTCCACTATATTTGACTATATGGTGCTCCACGGTCTTTGCTTAAGTGATTAGTGAACTGTATTTGACTATATGGTGCTCATAGTCTCTGCTTAAAGAGTTAGTCACCATATTATAATACTAATATCTGCCTATATGGTGCTCCACGGTCTCTGCTTAAAGGATAAGTCCACCATATTTGACTATATGGCGCTCCATGGTCTTTGCTTAAAGGATTAGTCTACTATACTTGACTATATGGTGCTCCTAGTCTCTACTTATTGGAGTAGCTCAGGTGTGGAGATGTCACTGCCGAAGCTCCTTATAGATGCAAGCCATTAGATAACTAGACCCAGGGGGATGCACTCAGAACAGAAACTGTCCACACACACATAATCACTTTGAGGTAGACTGATCAGGAGAGAGACGCATAGAGTGCCACAGCTAATCTCTCCTTCTGAAAATGCAAGTTGTCTGGTTCTCTTTTGGCTTCACTACTTCCTCAGTTATAAACCGGGGACCATCATGGCGATCAGGAGTCCTGATTTTGTTTCTCTTCCATGGTCAGTGACCCTAACATATTGGTGCCAAACAACTAGCCTTTTTCAATAAGAGATCGCCAATGGCGGCCTCCATATATTTCCAGTGACAGGTACACTTTAACACAATAGATCAGCATCACACAGCATGCCTGAGTTTCTCTTTTTGGCTACCTGATACCGGCTGGCAGAAGTGTGCACCCTCCACATTAATCATTAATTGTGAAGTGATAGCAGTGCGGCTGACCTCAGCTGTAAGATGCCGGCTTTGAAGGACGCGGCCTCAGTTTTCAATTCCAGGTGCCAGATCTCAGTTTACTATATGGGCTTATTTATTTAATACAGGTATTTATATAGCGCCTGCAATTTACGCAGCTTTACACAGTGCACATTCACATCAGTCCCTACCCTCAAGGAGCTTACAATCTAAGGTCACTATCTCACATGCATACATAGAGGGCCAACTTAAGGTGCCCATACACTGCTCGATTCTCGTACGAGAATCGCGGGAAATCCCGCGATCGTACGAGAATCGAGCAGTGTGAACGGAGACGTGCGACCGTTTCTACTGTACGGTCACACGTCTTCCGTTGAACCAGCATGTTCGTACGATTCTCGGCTGGTTAGAACGGTGCTCGGAAGACAAATGCCGAACGGGCCGGTGTGCGCACGCGCACACTGCCCGTTCAGCATTGCGGTCATCGGAAGCCCGCCCCTCAGGGGGGTGGGCTTGCGATGATCGAGAGTGCGATCTGCCTGTCCAAGATAGGCAGATCGTACGTTTTTTTTAATCCTGTACAACCATCGCAAGACTAAGGTCTTGCGATGGTTGTAGAGTGTATGACCACCTTTAGAGAGGAGCCAATTTACCTTCCAGCATGTCTTTGGAGTGTGGGAGGAAACCGGAGTACCCGGAGGAAACCCGCGCAAGCACAGGGAGAACATGCAAACTCCTTGCAGATAGTGACCTGGCCGGGATCAGACCGGGGGCCCGCTAAACACTAGGCCACTGTGCTGCCTGCATATCTGTACAGGGCAGCATGCAACAACATTGGCAATTTCTATTCATTGTTTGCTTTCTGTTCATTTTTGAACTAACCAATTCTTTGCACTCAAAGCTGAGAGTTCACATTTTAATTCAGTGACAGCAGGTGAAGGGAACCTGGGATTCCAATGGGGGAATCTCTGTTTCTGAGTTCCCAGCTCCTCCAACCTTCCCCTGATGGTCATTTTATAATGTGATCCTACCATATTTACTAAACTGGATCACTTATTTGTTTTGTAAGATTAACCTGCTTACAAATCATATTATAAAACAACAGTTTGTGAAAGTTCCTGTTTATCCAGATCGCGGTATACCTAATAGTAGTTGGTCACGTTCTCCGGAGCTTGTTTTGTAATATTGAAAATATTTTGGTACTTATCCAACCAGTTCCTCAGTTTTAAAGCCCATCTCCAGGAAACAAAAACTTCCCTTGCAGTGGAGCTAGCCTCATACTACAACTGCACATTTAGGTCTAGGGGACCTGTGTAAAGGACTTTTACTTCGCTGATCCCTGCTCCCTTGGTGGTCAGCGATCACCTCATCTCCCCTACGCTCCATGCTTGTGGACTGTCCCTGCTTATTTAGGTCTAGGGGACCTGTGTAAATGACTTTTACTTACATGATCCCGGCTCCCGCAGACTCCAAGACCGGCAGCCTCTGCCCTCCTGTGCTCCGTCGGTCGGAGGCCCGATGACATCATCACGTATACTGAAGAGCTATGGGCACTGCATTGTACGTAAGGATGTCAGCCGCCCTCCAATTTCTGCAGAAGCTGCGAGTGCCGGTCTTGGAGCCTGCGGGAGCAGGGATCAGGTAAGTAAAAGTCCTTGACACAGGTTCCCTAGACCTAAATGACTTGGGACAGTCCACAAGCTGGAGCGTAGGGGAGATGAGGTGATCGCTGACCACCAAGGGAGCAGGGATCAGGTAAGTAAAGGTCGATTACACAGGTCCCCTAGACCTAAATGACCAGGGACAGTCCACAACCTGGAGCATAGGGAAGATGAGGTGATTGCTGACCACCGGGGGATCAGGTAAGTAAAGGTCCATTACACAGGTCACCTAGGCCTAAATGACCAGGGACAGTCCTCAAGCTGGAGCGTAGGGGAGATGAAGTGATCGCTGACCACCGGGTGATCAGGGATCAGGTAAGTAAAAGTCCATTACACAGGTCCCCTAGAGCTAAATGACCAGGGACAGTCCACAAGCTGGAGCGTAGGGGAGATGAGGTGATTGCTGACCACCGGGGGATCAGGTAATTAAAAGTCCATTACACAGGTCCCCTAGATCTAAATGACCAGGGACAGTCCACAAGCTGGAGCGTAGGGGAGATGAGGTGATTGCTGACCACCGGGGGATCAGGTAATTAAAAGTCCATTACACAGGTCCCCTAGATCTAAATGACCAGGGACAGTCCACAAGCTGGAGCATAGGGAAGATGAGGTGATTGCTGACCACCGGGGGATCAGGTAAATAAGAAACCTTTAACACAGGTACCCTAGACATTACCAAGTTTACCCTTGCAGTGCAGAGGTAGCCCCACTGCAAGGGGAATTTTCTTCCCCCAGAGATAGAAAGTCTAAGGAATATCAAGAACCCCAGCATTTAAGTACCCACTTAGGTATGTTTCTAACCCTCATTAGGATTTAAACATTTCAGAGCAGGTCTAGCTGAATATGACTAACTACTACCAGGTATGATGCAAAGGCACCATCGTCAGTTGGCCTTTCTTGTGATGGTTGGTAGGAATTCTAGTTTTTTTTATTGATGCCACTCATGAATGTCATGCCAAGTTGATCTCTTGTACCTACCTTGACTAGTTATAAAAAAGGACGGGGTATCGAAAACAAGGAAGTGGTTACCTAGCACTGTAGATGTATCATATATCGCCCCATTTAGATTGTATCTCAAGCTGATGAAACAAAGAAGCTTGGCTATTATATAAAGGAACACAGATGGAAGCAACATTACATACCTGTCTTTGGCATTGGAACTGCCCTCTGCATTGAAACTCTATTGTAAAATCCATCATTTCATTCATAAGGACCAATATGAATTCATTTTTGAAAGCACGATGATTTTATTGTGACTTTGATCAGATTATTAAGCGTTCAAACTCAGGGACATTTCCACTGGGAAACACCTGAAGTATCTGAAATGCGAAACCTTGGGCTTTCCCTACAAAACAGGAACAATGATCAACCCTGAAAGTGCAGAAAAACAGCCGATATGGCAATAGTCACAGTAGATGTGTTAGTATTATAGCCTTGTTTGAATCTTTAGACCAACCTTTCCTCACCTTTGCAACACAGAGGGACCCTTAAAATAGCATTCAGGTTGCAGGAAACCCTTGCTAATAATTACTATATCTACAGCTCGTGGTTCATTATCGGGGACGGTAAGTTATGATCTAAGAATAAATAATAATGGATGTGGGGTTCTTAGCATATTTGATACGCAGGGGTTCTTTAGACACCAAAATCATTTTGTAACCAGAGAAGCATTAGAAGCCAATTGGTACTGTATGTTCACAAAAGACCTTGGGAAAATGGATGGAAATAAAGAGGTCTTTTCAAGATAATATATCCGGATTTTTTTCAAGCAATTTCAACCACCATACAACAGCTTTTCCATCAGAAAAAGATGAACCAACTTTTGTGTTGGTTTCATGGTGTTGATACAAACCATTGGTGGTAGCTTACATTATTATTATTATTATTATACAGGATTTATATAGCGCCAACAGTTTGTGCAGCGCTTTACAATATAAGGAAGACATTACAATCACAATACAATTCAAGACAGGATGGTAAGGAGGGCCTTGCCCATGAGGGCTTACAATCTAAAAGATCAAATGTTTGGAAATTCAAAGCTGTAAAGAAATTGTTTGAAAATGTCCATGTGTATGGCCAACATTGCAGCTACATAGAAACTATAGATCTTCAGACTTGGATATCTATTTGAAGGCCAGGTTCTCCAGCAGCCATAAACACTTTGGATACAGGCTGCCAGCCTAAAACTGTAATTATTGTTGTTATGAATGATTTACGAGCTCTGATTGTGTTACTGTTTCCTGCTGCATGATATCTCTTCATAGGAATAACCATGACTGTGTAATACTTAGGCAACGCCTGCTTCCTACAAGTCCTAGAGCTGTTGGGCATTCCTTTCCAGCAATGGCATTCCCCTACAGTGTTCAGAACACTATAGCAGCCCTATTTACACTCCCAGGTATTAAATTGGATCTATAGGCAAAGACCATCATTAAAGAGAGTCAATCAAAAACTGATATTTTTATTTTTGGTAGATGCTGTAAAGTTAAACCACCTGACAATTTCTTATACCTCTCGGAGACTCTATTGTTGAGATCTCTGTGCTCAGTTCCCCCATCTGCACACTTGACACTTTTAAGGAGCACCCACTCTTCCTGCTGGATTTTGTATTTATTTGATATTATATAGAATGTAATAGAAGTTTCAGAAACATGCAAAGGAGGGCGGGAACACATATATCTTTTAGATGGACATGGTCAGGAATTATAACAGGGAGATCAGACTGGTGGAGCATTCAGGACATATAGGAAGCCAGAGGCTGACTTGGCCTACCAAGCATCACATATAACTAAAATATTACTTTTGAGTAGACTAGCCTTCTTAATAAGAGGAAAATTAAAAGGAAATTTGGTACAATCCATCGCTTTATTGTCTACAACTGCCTTTCTCATCAAGGACTGTGGAAACCTAGGGTTCCTCCAGAAACTGCTAGGGGGTTCCTTGAGCAATGAGCAATTTCTAACTCTCAGATATGTAACCTCTGACACCAATGATCTTTTTAGCTATCTGTAAAGGGGGACATCCCACTGACCACCAATGTAAGAAGCATTCTTCCCACTGACCAGCAATGTAAGAAGCATTCTTCCCACTGACCACCAATGTAAGAAGCATTCTTCCCACTGACCAATGTAAGAAGCATTCTTCCCACTGACCAATGTAAGAAGCATTCTTCCCACTGACCACCAATGCAAGGAGCATTTTTCCCACTAGCCACCAATGCAAGGAACATTTTCCCACTAGCCACCAATGGAAGGACCATTCTTCCTAATAACCATCAGTATAATGGAGCCCTTCTGTTAAAGACTCTTCCAATGGCCACCAATGTAAGCCGGTCCTTCACCTACTAATCACGAGTCTAAGAGGGCCATTCTCCACTGACCACCAATGTAAGGTAACATTTCACTGACAAGTAAAAGGGTCAGCTTTACATTGATCATCAATGTAAGTGGACATTTCTTTACTGACCACAAATGTGAAAGAACTCTACAGTGTTCACTGTCTGCATTTATCTTCGGACCATTGTTATCATTCACTCTATTCCATCATTATTACTAAAAATTAGGGATGCACCGATACCGATACTAGTATCGGTATCGGTGCCGATACCGAGTATTTGGGTGAGTACTCGTACTCGCCCAAATGCTCCGATACCTAGCACGAGTACTTCCTGTATCAGGAAGCCGGGCAGCGCATCATTACACGCTGCCCGGTTTCCTGATTGGCCAGGAAATGGCTCCATGCTCTCTCGTCACTTGTGATGAGAGAGCATGGAGCCGACTTCCCGGCCAATCAGGAAGCCGGGTAGCGTGCAATGACGCGCTGCCCGGCTTCCCGATTGGTCAGGAAGCTAGCAAATCCGGAAGCCGGGCGCCGTGTAATGACGCAGCGCCCGGCATTCTGATTGGCCGGGAAGCCGGCGTCATGCTCCCTCGTCATCTCATGAATCATAATATTAAGAAAGTGACCTTATAGCATTAGTTTGTATTGCTTTAGAAAAAATGTGACCTGTCCCTTTAAGAAAAAGTATCGGTAATTGGTATCTGCGAGTACTTGATAAAAAGTATCGGTACTCGTACTCGGTCTTAAAAAAGTGGTATCGGTGCATCCCTAGTTACAACATATATGAACATCTGCTCTGTTTATTATTTCTTGGAATGTGGATTTGTATTAGGTATAGTCATACCTAATACCTAATGATATCTGGACCTGCCGCTGAAGTAAATACATGCCTGCAGAACATTTTCTGTTTCCCTCTTTAGCCATCTGTAGGAGGAACTCTTATAAATTCAGAAACACATCAGCACCTGTCTCTATCTCTCATCTGTAGTCTGGGCTTTTCATTGACATAATAGAAATAATATCTATTGAAATATTAGATATTAAAGCCCATCCTCAGGCACCAGAAAAAAATACCCTTGCTGTGGCCCCCCCCTGCACTGCAAGAGTTAAATGCTCATTAGGTCTAGAGGTTAAAGAATAAGGTGTAATACGCACCTTATTCCTCGCTCCGACAGGCTCCTTCCATCTGTGCTACCAGACTGAAGACTCTAAGTTGCTCCCGGCAGTGGTTGCATGCTGATGTCATTAAGTACAATGTAGGGTACCATCTTCACGCAAGGACGGTGATCCACAGCCCGGAGCGTCTGGGAGAACAGTAGAGTGCTTGAGCCTACCAGAGGGAGGGCTAAGGTAAATAATACAGATTTTTTTCTTGACCCCTAGACTTAACAATAATTTAACCCTTGAAGTTTGGGGAAGAAGGGGTGTTCCACTGCAGGTGTAGTTTGTGTATTTCCGAGAGTTGGCTTTTTGAGGAACCTCCTCTCCTCAAGCAAAATCATTAATTGAATCATTTCTGTACTACCAACCACCCTCATATGTCCATAGATACCTTAACTCACATTGTAGTTTAACCCTCTGCACTAACATTCAAACAGGTGTACTTACTATGATATAAATATGAAACACAAATGCTATAACTACATTGTCAGCGAAGGCTTTTATGACTGTTGCAGGCCTTAAATAATTCATGATTTGTCTGAACTAAATAGTCTGTTTTAATGTCTAAGAAATAAGATCTACATTTCCAGACTACTGCTTAAATGCCTTTTATTAATACAACAAATGTTGACATTTTGTATTCTTTGATACACAGGTCATCAAGATGGCAAGTAAACTTAAGTACCTCCTGGTTTTCGACTTTGACGAGACCATTGTCAATGAGAACAGTGACGACTCAGTGGTTCAGGTGGCACCTGAAGAGGAGCTACCTGACTGGCTACGTGAGACTTTCCAAGAGGGCTTTTACAACCAGTATATGCAGAGGGTGTTTAAGTATCTTGGAGATAAAGGTGTGAAGTTGTCTGACCTCAAAGCGGTGTACGAGAAGATTCCTCTTTCTCCTGGAATGCCCACCCTCTTTAGATTCCTGATCAGAAACCAAGATCGATTTGAGATTATCTTACTTTCAGATGCCAACGTGTTTGGAATTGAGAGCAATTTGAAAGGCTTTGGCTACCAATCACTCTTCCGGAGGGTCATTAGCAACCCGACTACGCTGGAGAAGAATGGCTACTTGACTCTAGCACCATATCACACCCATAGTTGCCCTCAGTGTCCAGCAAACATGTGCAAGAGGAAGATCTTGACTGAGTACCTTGCTGAAAGAGCTCAAGAAGGAGTCAAGTTTGAAAGCCTGCTGTATGTCGGAGATGGAGCCAATGATTTCTGCCCATCCGTTATATTCACATCCACAGACGTCACTTTCCCTCGAAAGAGTTATCCCATGCACAAGTTGATACGAAAAATGGAAGAAAAGCAGAAAGGGTCCTTTAAGGCTAAAGTAGTCCCTTGGGAATCGGCTGATGTGGTTGCACAGTACCTCCAAGCTCTTTTGAACAAATCTTAGAAATAAAAATAAGTTTACAGGGAAAGCTTAGGTTAGTTTTTAATAGTTATTACTACGAGACGCATATATTAGGCTCGATGTCTATGATCAACCCTAAACTATGCAGTTATGTCAACTTTCAGCCTCTATTCTTTTGGGTTGGCAGGTTGACCTTTCCATGCCAGTGTTCAAACCTAAAGTCTTTTGAAAGGTCAATGGACAGATTCGCCGAGTTTTATTTAACTCTTTCTTTCTCTACCATCAGAACTCAACTAGAATCAATAGCGTTGACTTTTTAACATTTTTCACATGTATTGCTAAAGCATGACAATGCATCTTCGGAATACCTCACTATATTTTATATTAGAATGCTCTAGTAATCCTACAAAGCAAGAAAACTCCTGGAACGTGTGCCTAGTGAAACCAAACTGAATCCCTCTGAGCAAACATAATCAATAGCAAAGGGTAAAAAGTGTTCTGACAAAATACCATAGATGTGGGGGCACAGTGGTGTAGTTGTTAGCACTTCTGCCATGCAGCACTGGGGGTCTTCAGTTCAAATCCTGGTCAGGACTCAATCTGCAAGGAGATTGCATGTTCTCCCTGTGCTTGCGTGGGCTTCCTCCCACTCTCTAAAGGCATCCTGGTAGGTTAATTGGCTCCTCTCCAAATTGGCCCTCGTATGTATGTATGTGAGATAGGGACCTTAGATTGTAAGCTAATTGAGGACAGGGACTGATGTGAATGTGCACTATGTAAAGTGATGCGTAAAAATTGTTGGCGCTATCTAAATGCCAATAATAATAAATGTAATTTAAGCCCAGATGAACTTTCAGTTTAAATCAGCTAAGTGCATTCCAGTTGCATCACAAAAAGGTGTTATACGTTTTAAATTCAGCCACAGCCTGAGTAGAAAGGCCTTGCTCATCCCCCCCTGCCCCCCCACCCATCACCATGTTGCAGAGAAGGACCTTTGCTGTCTGGGTGATCGCAGGGGCCTCTCTGCAGAGGTCCAACACGCCCTCTGTTGAGTTAGAGCTAGATCTGTCCAATCAGCAAACCTCATTCCCTCTGCTGATTAGAGAGCTCTAGTTATGATTCACAGGGTGTGCATGTGACCTCTGTAGAGAGGCCACCGCTTCCATACAGAGTATGCTGGCAGGGGTCAGGCTTTTATACTATGGCTGCTTTCTAAAGAAAACCAACAGACCTTTTGCTTAGATGCACCTGGAATGTATTTAGCTGATTTAAATTGATAAGTTCAACTGGGCTTTAATATACTGCAGATGTATTTATATTTTGCTCCCATACAAGTTTTATAACTATGTAGAAGTAAATAGCAATTTTATGCATGAGGATATAGTGCAATACATAATATATGTAAGATAATCAGATACCATCAAAACAGATACAAAAAACATTTTAATGCCGTTATGCTTGCATTCATTATCATGTGTTTTTTTTTTTTTTAAATATAGTGTACATTATGGGACGTACACTATGAAACGCACTATAGTGTGGGACTTACACTATGAGAGTACAGGCCATTATTGTGAAAAAGGCAGGATCTGCTGCAACACATACTGCTGTCAGTCTAACACAGTGATAACTTTGCCAGTATGCTGATGCTCCTTCATTGTCCAATGAATGGGGATAGGACCTTGAGCAATCGAGGTCAGAAACCAGACTTTGCTGTCTGGGATCAGTGTCTAGATCACAAGTCTTTTGTAGGAATCACAAGAATGTGCAACAAAAACGAATATATATATATATATATATATAATATACACACACACACACTATATTGCCAAAAGTATTGTGATGCCTGCCTTGACCATTCTTCCAGAAGCACATTTGTGAGGTCAGGTACTGACTGATGTTGGACGAGAAGGCCTGGCTCGCAGTCTCCGCTCTAATTCATCCCAAAGGGGTTCTATCGGGTTGAGGTTAGGACTCTGTGCAGGCCAGTCAAGTTCCTCCACCCCAAACTCGCTCATCCATGTCTTTATGGACCTTGCTTTGTGCACTGGTGTGCAGTCATGTTGGAACAGGAAGGGGACATCCCCAAACTGTTCCCACAAAGTTGGGAGCATGTAATTGTCCAAAATGTCTTAGTATGCTGATGCCTTAAGAGGTCCCTTTACTGGAGCTAAGGGGCCAAGCCCAACACCTGAAAAACAGCCCCACACCATAATCCCCCCTCCACCAAACTTTACACTTGGCACAATGCAGTCAGGCAAGTACCGTTCTCCTGGCAACCGCCAAACCCAGACATGTCCATCGGGTTGCCAGACAGAGAAGCGTGATTCATCACTCCAGAGAACACGTCTCTACTTCTCTAGAGTCCAGTGGCGGCGTGCTTTACACCACTGCATCCCACGCTTTGCATTGCACTTGGCTTGGATGCAGCTGCTCGTCCATGGTGCTCTCTATGCGCTATTGACTCTGCAGACTTTGCGCACTGTGCGATTGAGCATGGGCTGGACCCGGTCTGTCATTTTATGTGGCCTATTAGCTGTCTGCCTGGAGTTCAATTTTTAAGTCTTCAGTGGACCTCTACAATTAGGTATTCCATGTACCTTCTGATTCAAATTGTCTTTACATAGACTCAAAAAGCCCTTTTTATTATTCATCTTCCATTAGATACACTCTCTCTCATACATCTAATGCGCCCTTCAGATTTTTCAGTTGTGACAAAGGCATGTGCAGTCTACAGTTATGATAAGATGTACAACGTAAGATGACATCTTTGGATACTTGGTGACAATCCTGGCCAGTCTTTAGTACTTGATGTGGTAGTTAAGATACTTAGAGACATGAGTGGTCACTTGGTGGTCCCATCCCACCATCATTTCACTCTATATGTCTGTTTCTGATTAAACATAATAGTCTTCTTGGCTTTTGTTTTAAACAATGCATGGGCTTGCTGTGTTGGCAGTGGTCAGTGCCTACACACTGCAAATCCAAAGATACGCATTGGAGAACATTGATGGCGTGCATCCATACATCCCTGGCTTTGAAAATTCTTCAGGTACTGTATTTTTTTACAAGAAATCACAGAAAGAGAACCGAACAATGTATTTTAACACTTTGTATTTATATATTTATTGTAACTGAAAGTAATATTTTATTTTCCATTAAAAGTATATAGCACAAACCTTTTTTTTAACAGGACAAAGAATTTCCTTTCGAAGCTTACCAGTTAGTACTGTGGCCTTGCAGCTTTGAGATCCTGGGTTTATTTTCCAGGGGGACACCACCTACAACAAGCTTGTATGTTCTCACATTTGTATAGGGTTCTTGCAGATGCTTTTATGTTCTTGGTTTATTCCCCACGGGACACCACCTTTAACAAGCTTGTATGTTCTCACATTTGCATGGGGTCCCTGCATGTGCTCTGATGTCCTGGGTTTATTTCCCATGGGGATACCACTTGTACCAAGCTTTTTATGTTCTTACATTTGTATGAGGTTCCTGCAGGTACTTCGATGCCCCTCAACAACTCAAATATTAACTGGCTTCTACTTGAGTTAGCTGCAGTAACTGTGAAAGTCATGTTTGATTGCAAGCTTCTCTGAAGACGGGCAACAATGTTAATGGAATATATATATATTAGGGATGCACCAATACCGATTCTAGTATCGATATCGGTGCTGATACCAAGTATGTGGGCGTGTGCTTGAGGCTGTCTACCCCTGACCTAGACAGTCGGCTGCAGCTGTTTCATTTAGCAGGTTGGGAGTGAAGAGGACATCAGTTTATTCCTTATAGTGTAGCTGTACCTGTTGGGGCTCATTCACATGGGCATGCACATCTGTGCAGAGACCTGCCCCCTAGAGGGACAGGTACTGCATGCAGCTTCCTGTACTTCCCTATAGGATTACATGGTAACCTGCAGAGTAGGGACGTGCCGATACCCAGTACCCGCCCAAATGCTCCGATACTTACCCCCGATACCGGAACTTCCGGTCAGAGGATGATTTCCTCTGACCGGCAGTGCTGTGAGGAAACATGGACCCGGCTTCCCGGCAAATCAGGAAGCGGGGCGGTGAGTCATTACCCGTTTACTGTTTGGGTGGCTCAATGCTGATTATCCGGGAAACCGGCTTCCCAGCCAATCAGCATTGAGCCAGCCAAACAGCATAGAGGCAGCTTCCCGGCCGATCAGGAAGCAGGCTCCATGCTGATTTGAATGGGAACCAGCTTCCCGGCCAATGAGAATCGAGCCTGCCAAACAGCTGGCTCCATGCTGATTGGCTGGGAAGCCGGCTTCCTTTCCGAACAGCATGGAACCGGCTTCCCGGGCAATCAAGAAGCCTGATTGCCCAGGAAGCCGGTTCCATGCTCGCGTAAGTACCGGTATAGGTACTCTGTATTGGTGAGTACCAAAATATAAATATTAGTACTCGATACTGAAAAACAATATGTCTCTTGTAACAAAGCACCACTCTTCTGGACCCTGAATAATATAATAATGAAATAAACATACGGGCTAATTTGTTAAAGGGAAATTATAATAGTTGTTGGTCCATTTTATTGTTGTTTTTTACATTTGTGTTTAAAGTAGATAAACTAATCATGTATATAATTTTTCTTTGCCTGTAAAAAATCTTAGTTTTACAAAATGTTGTTTAGTAACGGATACTTCCCTAATAGTTTTGCAGGGTTTGCTGGGCTTTCGTATCAGAAAGCCTAGCAGCAGTTACTTGTGGACTGCTTCTTTTAGTTGAAACTGCATAAAGAGCTGTTTGAAAAGACAAAGGCTGGGGAAGGGGAATTGGGTTCCGCTTCTGCATCATTCAGCTGTGTTTGCAATAAAGCATAATACTTAGGAGTCTCATTAGAGCATAGAAGTAAATCCTGCAGTTGGCAGACTCTGGAGCTCCATCACTGCAAATGGTAAGCTTGAAATATTTTTTTAATGTAATATGTCATCATTACTTGATTAAAATATATTTTTTTTAGTCTTAACACAAAAAACCACATAACGTTTCCTTTAAGGCAGAGTAAAGAGCAATGGTAATGTTCAAATTCAGAATTCCTCTTTTCATGGTTCTGGCTAGAGCAAACTTCCATCCGATTGGACGAGTTTCTGTACTTGGCACATTTGTTTTTACCTTTTTCACTGCTTCATTGGATTAGCCTTCCGTTGTCCTTTTTCTTCACTTGGTGCCTCCTCAAGGGTTCCTGGCGTAGTGCTTCAAG